AGAGATTAAGTTGTCCGAAGATAACAAACAGACTTGTGATGCGGAATCTAAGAAGTCAATTTCTACCTCGAGTGAAATTCTAGAAGGGCTTGTTATCATAACTCAACTCGTCACATCTTGCATAAGAGGATTGCATTACTCGCAATCCAAATTGCATAGTTTAGAGATATTATTAGAATTGGCTGAAAATGTTTCTGATGAGACAATTCTTGATAGAATATTACCTTATATCGTAAGTATTAAAAATGCTATTTTTTAGAAATTTTTTTAATCATACAAAAAATAAATAAGAATATTACACAAACTTGTATTTATTGAGTTAAAAAATGTTTTAATGTGAGTAAATTATACCTTTTATTTTATATTATTAATTATTGCTTATATATATTTTTTTAAATGTTAGTTCCATTTGGTTCATGATCCGGCGCCGCGGGTGAGAGTATCGGCGATACACACTTTAACAAAATGTTTACATCTTGTAAAATCGATACCATCTTCGGATGTAAACATATTCCCTGAGTATATTCTACCAGGTCTAGCGCACATAACTCAAGACGAGGCAGTTATTGTGAGAGCAGCTTATGCAGAGAATATTGCTCATTTGGCGCACATCGCTCTGCGTTATTTAGAAAACGCTCATCTGTCTAACTTGGGTAACAAGGAAGGACCAAAGCCCAGTTACGACAGCGAACTGCAAACCTTGCACGAAATGGTATAAATATTTTAGTTTGTAATTTTCTTTATTAAATGCTTTGTTGTCTTTATCTTTTATTTAGGTCCAACAATCAGTGTCCATGCTGTTAACAGATCCCAAAAATTTAGTGAAACAAACGTTAATGGAGAATGGAATAAATAAATTGTGTGTGTTCTTCGGAAAACAGAAAGCCAATGATATTTTACTTAGTCACGTTATCACGTTTTTAAACGACAAAGAGGACAAGGAACTGAGAGGCTCTTTTTTTGAATGCATAGTCGGTGTAGCCGCTTATGTTGGTTGGCATAGTAGTCCCATATTAATGCCACTTCTGCAGCAAGGTTTATCTGATCCTGAAGAATTTGTAATCACAAAGGCCATAAATGCGATGGCAACACTTACAGAATTAGGTCTGCTACATAAATCTGCTCTTTATCAATTATTATCAGAAACTATGGTCTTCCTGGTACGTTATCATCATAAAAATTTTGCATATATATAATGATTCAAGTTACAATATTTCTAATAGATTTTTTACAAATTTAGAACATTTTCTTAAAATGACAAAATTGAAATTATAGGATTTTGTTAAAATTTTGATAAATTTCAGAATATTATTTAAAACAAATTCTTTGAAAATAAAAAAATTAGACACTATAAAAATTAAAAATTGAACAATAAACTTTTTTTAAAAATGACTAGTTTAAATTTAGAAGAACCTTGCGTATTGGTGTAATTGATTTGCAGTCATTTTTTTATAGGTCCATCCAAATCTTTGGATACGTCATGCAACCGTCGGCTTTATTTCCGCGGCAGCAAGAACTCTGAATGTGGTGGATGTCCAATGTAAAGTTCAAACGATGCTCCAACCGTATCTGAAACATTCATTGATCCAAATAGAAAAGGAGATTTTATTGCTCGAGGCACTTGTTCCTCCTATATCTAGAATCGTATACGATTCCGTGGTGAAGTATAACGATGTGGAGGAACTATTCCAAGTACTTGAACAGAGGCAGGCAGCCAGAGCAAAAGCCATAACGGATGTGGTATCACCGCAATACAACGACATGAGTACCTCTTTAAAAAATGTAAATAACGTTGATTATATTCAATCTTGGAAATGATATTGAAAAAAAATTTTACTATATTGCCAGAAAATTAAATTTTAGAATAAAATGATGTTGCGTTATACACCATGCGGCGAAAAAATTAAAATAAAGATATATTATTACTGCAAATAAAGAAGATTCAATACAAAAAGATTCACAGACAACTCGTTTTAGCTTTTTAGACGATTAAGTTCGGAATCGATGACTGAAGCAGTTGAGGATCAATTGCTGATCATGAAACCTCACTTGATGAAGATCAACAAGTATCGCAATTCCGCGGACACGAAGCAAAATGCTATTAAGCCCGTAGACGGTAAACTGGAGTTAAGTCCAATAAAAGATAGGATAAGGCATCATGTCGTCGTATTATATCCTGATACTAAGGGAGACTTAACCCTGCCACCTTTTAAGAGATTGGATCGAAGAACATCGGAGACTGTTGGTACATATGCAACGATGAATCAAGAATGGCGTACGATGTTTGCAGCTCAAGATAATGCTCAGGTATTGTAACCGATATCGACGGTTCTTTTTCTATATTGTCCTGATAGTTCTATATTGTTTGTAATAATTTTTCTTATATTACTATGATAGCACGCTATTGTTAAAATGTCAGACATGACTGGAAGCAGTGGCAGTCCCAGCCAGAGTATACACAGTGGAGACATCCATTTATCTCCGCATCATTGCCTGTCAGATATGACCAGCATTAATTCTCTCATGAATGATCATTCGCTTCACGAGCGATCTTATATACAATGTAAGCGAAATTAATGCGATTACAATACAAATTAATAATAAAAATAATAAATAATTAAAAAGTTAAAAATAATAAAATTAAAATAATATTTATATAATTTTTGTGTTTTATAAAATGATAGAAAAATATTAAAGAATAACGATTTTGCAGATAGATGTGCGCCCTGTCGGTTAGAAGTACGGCAATTAACGTACCGGAAGCAAGAGCAACATGCGGCAGTGTTAAGAGCAAAACGTTGGGCTAACAACATCGCCTGCGAAGCTGGTAAATAAAAATTAAATCTTTATAGATTATATCATGCTCTGTCGTATGATTATCATGTGCTTCTTTATTCGTTATCGATGTTGGCTAAAAGGCTCCACATCACTGCCAAAGGATTGGAGACCTCGAGGAGTTCCCGTCGCGCACCTTCACGAGCACAGAGCTGCAGTAAATAGATTAGTTTCGATACCTGACACTAACTTGTTCGCAAGTAGTTCCTCCGACGGATGTATTAAAATTTGGGATGCTAGTAAGATGGAGGGACGAAATATTGCTAATCGTTCTAGGTACTTTTTTTTCTTCCAGAACAATTACACATTGAAGATGTTTCGATTAATTTATTGTATTATTTTAAGTTAAAACTTCGAGTTATTAATAATGCACAATATTCGTTTCTTGATCCTTTACAGGCAAACGTATATGCATAGAGGAGGCCCGCTGGTTGGCTTAACTGTGTGCGACCAAGGGCAATCTTTAGCAAGCTCTGCGAGCTCGTCTGGAACGGTATTCGTACTTCGGATTGAGCCAAACTCGAGTAAAATGAGCCTGATTGGCACTCGTCAATTGGATCCCCAGGTGATTAGAAAATATCCACAATAATATAAAAATTCAATGCATGTGAATTTTAAAGAAATGTTGCTTGCAACTGGTTTAACAGGAAGAAGGAAGTGCTGTCGATCTACAGTATTTAGATTCCGGCTCGCAATCGGTTCTTGTGTACGCCTCCTTATATGGATCGCTGGTAGGTTGGGACCTACGATGTCCCGGCACAACATGGCGTTTAGAAAATGATTTAAAGCACGGAGTCATCACATCATTTTGCGTAAATAGTCATCAACAGTGGTTGACCCTTGGCACGAGTTCCGGTATTCATACCTGTTGGGACTTGAGGTTTCAACTGCCAATAACGAGTATCAAGCATCCGACAGGTAGATTATCTCGCCTATTTTATTTTCTATTGCGCTTGATGTACCAGTGTTTCACTTAAAATGATTTCTAATAATGTTACTTGTACTATTTGTAATGCTATTTATCATTTCCTTCAGGCGCCAGAGTACGAAAAGTGATTACACATCCGACAGAGCATTCGTGGATAATTTCGGCGGTACAAGGTAACAATGAGATATCCATGTGGAATCTGGAGACCGATCAACGACAGATGGTTCTATGGGCATCAAATGCCCCGCCGTTGAGTCGTACTCAAGCAGGTCACACCGTATGTGCCATGTACGCTGGATGCATCGATTGTTCGGGCTTCCTTTTAGCTGGCGGCACCGATATGCGATTACGCTTCTGGGACTTTGATAGACCTACCGCATCTTACGTTGCTCTGCCCGCTGCTAATGATGTTCTCACTCCAAATTCATTGGCATACGAGTTAGTGACCGATTCATTACAAAATTAATCACTCAATATATTATTTATTATATTCTTTCTTAATGACATACGATATCACTTCTCTGTTTATAGTTTACGTTTGATAGACGGAACGAACGTAGTGCAGGAGGTATTGGTGGATGACGATTCTAACCCGTTATCTGGAAGTGACACAAGAGGAAGGAATATGGAGGAGAGTGGTCCCGAGACTCCACCCTCCGGTCAGCACGACACGATCTCCGCCGTGGCTATGTCGAATACGTGTATTTTCACCGGCAGCACAGACGGTTTGATACAAGTCTGGAAATGATTGTTCTTTTCGGTCCAAAATTCGATTACAAAGTTCCTCGCACAGGCGATAAAAGATTTTACCAGTCTAATGCGGAATTTCTTCCCGGTAATAACGAAACCATTGTGATCCAAGTAAGAAATAAGTTATTTTAGAATTCAGATAAATTATCCAGCAATGCCGGACATTGATCGTGATATAATTTATTTAAGGGCAGTCACGCGGAGGAATTGTGATGGCGGTGTAATTATGATATAACAATTCCCATTTTGACAAAAAGCTTTGACAAAAAATCATATATTTTTAACAATTTCGTATGATTATCATTGATGATAAGTCTTGTTGGAAATTACGGTATCATACTGTATCTCACTGTGTAAAAAAAGTTAACTCTACAAATCGAATTATTTATTTTCATCTTTGTTTCATATAATTTTTACAAAATTGAAAATCTTATTTCTAAATAGAATTTTTTATAAATATTAACTATAGATGAGCAAAATTCTCTCAACTCTATTTAAATTAAACTTTATATTGTATAATTTGTTTAGATAATGTATTAAAATGGCTTTATCGCTTTTTTAAACTACAAGCATCAACGTACACACAACACCGTCGTGCTGTACCGAACTCTGTGATTCTGGACTGTATATAAAGCATGTAATATACATGATATTTAAGACTATGATTACAATTGTGCTACGAAGGCGTGCATTTTTTTTTTTTAGAAAATTTGAGCGTAAACTTACATTACAATGTAACATATAATAATAATGTATATAGCTTATTTTTATACGTAAGAAAAGAAAAAAAAGAGAGAGAGAGCTCGGAGTATTACTGATTTGTAGGCAGATGATGATGACTTAGAAAGTCGATGTTACACAGATCGATAGATAAGTCTTTGAACTGTATCTAAGTTAGCAGATATTTAGTGGGTCCGTACGCGCATTAAAAATTTAACTAAAAGATAAATAAAAGTTATGCTGATATGAAATGACTTTGCATGATAGAACACTCTTAAAATGTCTGAAAAAGAAATCTAGAAACTACATTTTTACAGCTTTCGACCGTATTCTTTAGCTTTGTTTTTTGGACTCTGAAAGCTATTTTTTTATAGTACGATATGGGTCCTAGTTTCTTTTTCTTGTTTTTATATTTAACAAGTGCGAATACGGACCGAGAAGTGGGGAGTAATAAAGTTCGCGTACAAAAGATGCAATTGGCGGACAATTATCTCCTCGCTTCGTACTTTACTTGATGAACGCATACGTAGCTATATGTAATCACGAATATTTATATGTATACTAGCATTATGTTTGCTAGCATTGTCACGGACACATACGTACATGCATACTGACTGAAATACTCATAATCGGTGGACGTATACTGTCTAAAACTACGTTGTTACAATAAATTCATATTTTTAACGCACGCTACGTTCTCACTTGCGTTTGGCACGACAGATTGGAAATCCGACCGGAAATTTCCTTTACCATGGACAAACAGGTGCGGCGGGATAAGGCACGCGTCCTGGGAATGCATATGAATCCGCATTTATAGTCCTGCAAATTTGTTTCCAGCGCTCCTTACCACCTCTACTTTGACGATACGGGCCGTTTGCATAGTATCCGGTATTTCGATTGTCGTAGGACTGCTGAGGAAACCATAGATCAAGCCAGGGCTTACAGGAAACTAAACTGACCAGTAATAACAGTAGAATGATTAACTTCATTTTAACTCTATTACATGAAAACTTTGGTCATAATCTTTTAACAATCTTCTTCTGATGATCTGAAAGGAGAAAGATTATTTTCTATTTTTGTGAGTATTTTAGATACATTGTGTTTAAATTTAATCGTTCAGTTTTGCATTATATTCTAGAATTATATTATAATTCCCAAATTGAAGAGTAAAGGATATTTAAAACTAAATTCGAAAGATTAATTTTTTAATCTTTTTTTTAATTCTTGATATTTTTTTATAAAGATATAATACACACATATATCTTTATATTTACAAATCTATTAATTTAAAGTAAATTTCTGTTAAAGCAGAGTTTTGTTGAAAGAAAGATTCAGATTTGTTTCATTCGTTTCTTGAGATTGAAGTAATTGAAAAGATAACTATATTTCTTACTACTATTCAGTTTCCTTTGATCTCTTTGATATCCGTGATGATATAGGATCTATTGTAGGTCCAAGCGAATGTTCTGCAAATAAAAAACAAAAGTTCCATTAAAGTTCTATTAACAGTTTGATTGTAGTTAACGCTCGTTGATTTTACCACTTCTGACAGGTATCACAGCGCATTTAGGAAAGGGGATATAAAAACGTTAAAGTGGATATAAAAACAAGGACACGCACCAAAAAATCATATAATGAAAGTCGTTGCGTCACGGCGTCAATGTTTTCTTTTACACTTTCTGAATTGTGGGATTAACGACGATACGACGTCGTTTTATGGAAATTCTAATATCTTGCTGATCGTATTGTTATTTATTTGAATTTGTTCTCTAACTATGGAAAATAATTGAAGCCACGTAGCATCTCTAATAATTGTACTGGATATAATAATTAACTTCTACCTAATCGCAAGCAACTGTAACAAGCACTACCGCAATGGAGAGATACTGGATGCTTACTGCTGATTTATATACCACTGGCCTACCGCCCTACCGCTCAGAAAAATGCGCGGTTGGTGATGAATCTGCGTTGTCTTTTGATGAATGATCTTGGGATACTGAATGCGCATGTATTCAATCGGCTTTAGTAAGAATATACAGCAGTCTTTCATAAGATTATATATAAATTAAAGAGAAAAAGCATAAAATAATGCATAAAAATCTGACAGAGCCTATAGTTACGATTCATATAATTGATATGTTATTCTATTAGAATCTAATTAAATCATTAATCAAATAGATGAACAAAATTATTTAATTCTATTAAATAATAGATTCAATCATCGGTTTTTTAAATCTTAATCCGCGATCGTAGATTTTGATATCATTTTATTCTTTTGTTTGATATCCTAGAATCACCTAGCATTTTGCATTTATATATCCAGATATATGATTTGTCTTACAATATTTTGCATTACAGATTCCCAGATTTTCGATTTACATTCATGATCGATCGAAGTTTGGATGATACGGGATGAATTCTAGATCCAACCATGTCTAGATCCTTTATTATTTTCTCATAATGAGAGTGTGATCGAGCCGCCGAAGAGATTTCATATTCCAACGAGTTCTGCCTCTTCACGATTATTTCCTCAATTTAGGATTCCGTGCTGATAAAATGACGCATTTACTTGCGTGCTTTTGAACTTGGGGAAGATTCTTTTTCACTGTCTTGGTCGTTCTTTATAACAATTTATATGCAACATTCGTAACTCTTGTTCGCTCCCTCGCTCGCGTATTCCGCGCACGCAATATCGTTTGCAGGGTATACAGGAAGATGAATGAGATACTGATATCATCATAATTACTCATTTGTTCGGTATGCCGCTACATCTTATGATAATGGCATTTCGTCACGTGACTCTTTGAGGAAAGAATCTTAAAGGAAGAAGAAAAGGAAAAGTCCTGTGTGCGCTCTAATAACGATCGTTCAGAAGACGCAAAAGCAGCTAACTGCATCGATTGCGATTAGATCGGATCTCGTATACGGTTCCTCCGGATTAGCATTCAATGTTTAATTCATGGATCGCATTTTTAGATGTTTGACGTATCCGCGAAATCTGGCGCTCTGCATGAAATTGTAATAATTTTGCATACGTAACGCGCCACCGGTATGTGTTTGCATACTATTGCGTGCATTCGATCATAAAGTGCACCGCACCGGGTGAATTTCGCAGCATGCGTTTTTCCTCGAGATTACGAAAACGATCGCGTGACCTACATTATATTATGCACAGGCCGATCTGCGTGCGATACATTCAATCTTCGCATCCGATTCTTCCGTGCTGGCGCCAAACTTTATTGGGAGTTGCTCTACATCCGAATATCATGTCAAGGACGCCACTTGCGAAGACAGTAGTGGATTATCTTATCGGCGAACTTGACATATATATACATGAAACTGCTTGCATAAACCGAAGCAAATTGCCCTTTGATCCCTTGAATTCTTCTCCGGTATGTTTTTCCAAATTTTTTTTTAGATAAAACACTTATCCTAATGATAGAATCTGAACATTACTTCTGTATATTTTATTATCTAAATTAATTATATTTGCCTGTTTGACGGCATCGATTCAAATACAAAGAAAGTTTTATAAATTAAATTTATATGAATTTGAAAGAAATGGTCATTAGTAATTATAATTATTATTTTAATTTGTTTTACTTGCTAATTTTTAAATTATTTTAATAATGCAGTTTGAGTAATGTAACATATATAACATGTATAACATATATTATGCGATCTGAGTAATGTAACATATGACATATATAACATAGTATGTAACATAGTAATCTGCTGTTTTTTTTTCTTCCAGCTTGTAATCTGACTTAGGGAAAAATAATTTGTCTTGCGCAATTAGCAATTCACATTGGTGCAAATTAGCCCCTGTAATGGATACAGCATTTTTCCGTTCGTTATTCGTCATTTTACCTGAAGTCTTTCTCAACTTTGTTCAAACTGCATGCAACTTCTTACAGGAAACCGACTACAACAGACACTGCAATAAATTCTTTAACATGTAATACCGGATTGCACGTTGCATAAAAAACTGGGTTATATATAAACAAATAACTCGGTTTGCCTTGAGGGAAATTATTGGTAGTTGATAGGTCCATTTATCGCACGAATATGAATCGTAAATTGCAGACGACAAGGTCGATTACTTCGCGCAACTGCACATAATTGTCCTTACACTTGACGGATTCTTCCATGAAAGGATGAATTCTTAAATTATGGGCCATCGAATAACGACTCGATTTGCTCTACCGATTCCTATTACCGTAATAGTCAGTTTCCAATCTATCCGACTATTAATAGCGTTTGGCAGAGAAAGTGTCTATTTACACACAGATGTTCGCAACAGAAACGAACAATTTTTTAATAGCTCATTTCTATAAATTTAATTTGAAGTTATAGGAAAATTGTAGAATTATAAAATTGTGTTACATACTTTTATATATGTGTATATGTATATATTTATATTTATATAGTATTTAAGAATACTTTTATACAAGTTTAATATTGCACACACACGTGATAAACGCGGGAAACGTGTACAATATAATATAAAGTTATTTAAGAAACTCACCTTCATACAGTGATTCAAACTAGTTTGTGGGTGGAGGAAGTTTTTAATACTTTTAGAGAATGCGATCAAATTGCTCTTTGTGCAAAAGCTTTTACATCTCTCCCGCTTTACTCCCGTGAATGTTTGGCAAGAAATTTCAAAGATGCTTTCTCGAAGAAGCTTTATGGTTTTTATCTTCTTATTTCTTCTCTTATTTTCCGAGACTCCATTTCGAATCTACTAACTTTGCCAATTGCGGTGATAACATATAATTTATATCGTGATCTGGCACAAATTTAGACTCGAAAATAAAATAAACATAGGAGTCACTTGGACTAATAAACATACGCAATTACATTACAAGAGATCAGCTAGTATATTTGTTTGTGATCCAAGAAAAAAATGCTCATTAAAGATGAGCTGTTGGGTGAGACACACCCAAAACTGTCTGCGGTTCGTACGTCATTTCTTGTTGGGATTTACAGACATGCCATAGTAAATCGTCTAAATATTTTGGCTACTGCAGGCTTCATCAAAACTGCTCTGTGCAGTCGGCTGCGTCAGTTTCGTTCCGCTCAACATTCGTCGAAAATCGTTGATCACTGTCAAACTCATCTGATATCACGTGTCCGTTGGATCCCTTCAAATGTCAAACCACGACAGCAAAGATAATTGCGAGTCTCTTCGCCGACCCAGCCTCTCCATAAAGATGCAACGTAGCTTGAAGAAAATGAGAAAAAGCATCCAAAAAATTACTGGTAACGATATTCGATTTGATCGTTATAGATTAGAACTTTCTCCTAGTCTAGTTTTTGTAACGCTTATAGAAATCGTCAATTAATTAGGTAAATCGCTCGATTAAATTAAATAATAAAGACGTAATATATACAATTAAGTAATTGAATAGAATCATATGATTTTTAGGAATAAAATTAATAATTATCTGTTTTAATCATTTTATGGTAGCTGTTAAATAAATACTCAATTTAATTAAATGATTAATAACAATTATAATTTGCTAAAAATTTTGAAGTATAAAAAGAAAAAGAAAATACAAAAAGTAAATATTCGTAATTTTTTAGTGATAATATGTATATTTAACATTAGTAATTTACATTTGACACTGTAAAAATAGAAAGAACTCCTTAAAGTGCAACTAATTAATTTAATCTTATTACAATTACAGTTTATATTCAAAAGATATATAATTGTGAAAAATTTGATAGTTACAGAATAAGAACTTCAAATTTCTAAGATTAATCCGAGCGAATAAAAATCAGGATGTAAATATATACGATAATCTACAATATCACTGTATAACTCGATTACATTTTCGTAGAGAACATCCAGGAAGATGATAAACATTCATTGTACGTGTTCCCCGAGCAATTGTCCACTCTGACTTGGCGCACCGGGTTTTCTAAGGATGAAATTCGTAAACTGTATCGCGCCTTCAAACAGCTGTGCCCTAGGGGATGTGCAACTTCCAGCGATCTGAAACCTGCGTATGCCAAACTATTTCCGCTTGGTGATTCGGCCAGATACGCACAGATCGTGTTCCACAACATCGACAGGAATGGCGATGGCATCGTCAATTTCAACGATTTTCTCAGAGCTATGACATCGATTATTAATGGCAACGTGGACCAGAAGCTTTCCTGGATATTTGAGTGAGAGCTCTTATCTCATTCTCAATGTTTCTATTAATAGTGATTTTTCTGATAAATTCGAAAAAAATTATAAATAATATTTTATGAGAGATTTAATTATAATTTCTAAAGCTATTCAATGGGGATTGAAAGATGTAATATTTATTCGGATTAGAAGAATTAAATTAATTTTAAAAAAGATTTTTTGGTCAATTTAAAAGCAATTTATTTTCTGTCGAATTGATGATCTCGAACATAGCTAAAGCAACACACGCGAAATAATCTCTTCGGATTTATTGCTTTTCAGATTTTACGATTTGAACGGCGACGGTTGCATCACAAGACAGGAGATGCTGACTATAATATCCGCGATTTATGAGATGGTGCAAAACGCGCAAACTATCCAGTCCATGGTTAACCAACAGGTGGACAAGTTCTTTGAGAAGATGGATGCGAATAGAGACGGTATAGTCTCCAGAGAAGAATTTATGAACGGCTGTAAAAATGTATGGAATCCTCTACTACGTGTAAGAATAATATTGTTCATATTTAACACTAGAAGAATCCTATTTAATTATGAAATGTCTTATTAGACTTTTCTAAAACAAAAGAGCTATTTATTAATAACATCGATAAAAAATTTGATAAAAATGATTTATATGTGTTTTGCTGTTACATCTTCTAGTGTTAAAATTCATATCACAATGCAATCTATTTTAATAAGATCTATTTTAATAACAGGGAATATAAAAATATATATGTATCAA